TATATATATATATATCCGGATTACCATTTGGGTAATTCAAGAAATTCGTCAGCTAATAGCACTTTTACATGACAAGAAGTGTTAGAAGTGTTACACGTCTGATCAACTTTGGTGATATAATGCCAACTTTCCATTAGGAGTGGTTGATTCATATATACTCTCTATAAATCAAAAGCCTAAATGTGCAAATACCAGAACATTCGAAAAAAGTAGAAGATAAAACTCACCAAAACAATATGTGTTGGTAATACTCTACAATTTCTGTTTAGCAGACAAAAGAGTTCAGAATCAACTTCAAATCAAAATTTTAACAAAATACCAAAGTATAGTTAAGGAAAATACAAAGGTCTCCATAAATACTAGAGAGATACATTTCATTCCATGACAAAGCTGAATTCTGGCAAATGTACATTGATGATTAACTTAAATTCATGAAATTGCAACTTTAACAGTCTTATGCTTAGGTGGTGGAGGAAACTTCTCAACTACCACAGCCAACACCCCATTCTCACATTTAGCAGTAATAGCTGAAACATTGCAATTTTCAGGCAGCTTGAACTTCCTCATCAATTTCTGAGGTGGCCTCATCTCCAACCTCACATACTTGCACCCATCTTCCTCACTCTCCTCACGCTTCCTCTTCCCATTGCTTCGTATCACCAATATGTTTTCATCTTCCACCGTCACCTACCAACTTTTCAATCAGTAACAAGGTTCACTAACAAAATCAAATTTTGTAGAGTAAACATTATGCACATTTAGAATAACTTATACTAATAATTTAAGTGAAATACAATAACTTACACAACTTTATTCTAAAAGGTAAACAAAAAAGGGTCGAGCAAGTTGAGTCATAACTCGTTTATTGATTTTAACCCGTTTAACCAGAGCCTGATTCTGACCTAAACCCTAAACCCTACCCGCCCATTTGACACCTCCTATGAAATTAGGAGCTAGAAATACTCTTTAAATCAAAATTGAAGATTGAATCTGTAATACCAACCTGAATTTTAGACTTAGATAACCCAGGAACGTCCATGTAGAAAATGTACTCCTTTTGGGAATCGAGAATGTCGACTGGTATGCTACTCAAACCCCTATTCTCACTTGTCTCATGTGAGCGAGACGAAAACACTACCCTTTCAATGATTCTGGGAAGTGGAGAAGTTGGTTCACTGCATCCACAACTGCGCTCATTTTCACACAGAGATCTCTACAATACACATTAATTTAATCATAGAAAAAACACAAACAAAAAACAGTCGGTACTTAATTTAAACAACATATGATAATAACTCGAAAATATGATTAATCATGATTTAATGATGTGAAACGCAAAAAGAGGAACCCCAAAATTACATAGTTTTGGAGAGCATTCTTACCAGGACTCACAATTCGCTGTGAATTTTAAGACTGTTGTAGCTCTTCAAACAAGCACCAGAGTTTTTGCCTTTAGAAGAAGAAGAATTATCCGACTAGTAGCTGAGAAAATATTAGGCAAGTTCAATTTAAATTAAGCGAATGCTGGGCCTCAGAAACTTCTAATATGTTCTTTGTTTTTCGGTTCTCGACACGAAGGATCTAGAAGAGGCTGGAACACAGGACACCTTTTACGTTTAGCGCATGGCCGTGATCTTCTATTTGTCGTCCACGTATAGTTCCTCCCAATCGTTGGGAATTTTCGTTTGTCTTAGATATTTTGTTGTTGCTGCCATTTTTGCATTCGACTCTTTTATTGTTATTTCTTTTTAATATTTCACCAATTTTTTATTTTTGGTTTGTGTGAAGTTGACTTAGAGCCCGTGTGGCCATAAAATTCTTTTTTACTTTTTTTTTGAAATCAATGTTTGGCCATAACATTTTTAATTTTCACTTGTTGTATGGGTCCAAATTTGGAGGATGACCACGGCCACTGACAAGGGACGAGATCCTTACGATACAACGTCCTTTGGTCATTGAGGGAGGTGATGACCGGCAGCGGCTGGAGACATTGGCAATAACGTAGGTGCAGACTGAGGCTGTCAGCATATACTTTCGAATATTCTTTTTTGTTGTATCTTTTAGGGTTCAAGAGGGAATGTCCCATATAACTAGAAGGAGAAGTCTCTGTGAAAGATGATTTTTTTCGGAGACATTTGACTCCTGACTAAGAATATTCGTTGTAATATCTTCCTACATCCAAAGTTACCATATTGACGCTTAATCATTCGATTTCATGATATTGCAAAACGTTATTCATCCTATTCATTCCTTATATCCTTCAATCTAGAGTTTATTATACTTAGCTGAGATTTACCTCTTCATCTTTTCTAATTAATTTAACCAAAAAGGTTTCAATAACTGGCAGGAAAGGGGGACGCAATATTAAAGGTAATAGTAAGTATCACGAACAACTTTTTGGATTCCATCAACGAAGCCGGCGGGGAAGACAACGAAAACGCAACACTAAGTGCTACACCTACGAAAGATACATCATGCCCCCTACATGAAAGCGTGATTGTCTTGCGCGAGAGGGGAACCTCAACATTCGCAGCAGGAGAAACACCACCAGCTGTGAAAAGGCTGTTAGAAGAGTGGTTGACAAGCACCCTGAGCAACATACTCGACAAACCTGATCAAAGGGATATCAGAGGCACAGTACATGTAGACACCGCAACTATCGCCGGTGAGCCAAAAACTCCACGCACAGGTAACACTTATATTGTCATTGATGCAGGTAACGATGCACTTGTAGCCATCTTAAAGAAAATGGAAGAAATGGAAAATGAGAACAAAACGCTCTGTGATTAGATTAAGGAGCATCAAGAAGGGGTCGATAAAATACCGGGCGCTCCGAAGTTGCTACCAAAATGAAACGTTGCCTGATTCGTCGAACAACCATACAGTGAAGGGGAAGCCCCACACTCTATCCCAAAAACCTTCAAAATTCCACCATACTTGAAAATATATGATGGCAGCACGGACCCGGAAGATCACATAATCTACTACATCACGGCAGTAAAAGGCAACGATCTGTCGAAAGAACAGGTGTCATTGGTGCTGCTGAAAATGTTTGGTGAAACCCTGACATGGGAGCGCTGACATGGTATTCCCAAATACCGGCACGGTCAATATCAACATTCGAAGAAATGGCAGACAAGTTCGTCACCGCTCACGCGGGAGAGAAAAAGGCAGAAGCCAAGGTAAATGACATCTTCGCCGTTAGGCAGACGACATGCGAAGGACTCCGAGACTTCCTAGCCCGATTCAACAAGGTAAGAATGAGCCTACCGAACGTATCAGAGGAGATGACGGTAGCAGCCTTCCAAAATAGGTTAAATAGAAACGGGTCGAAAGCAACCAAAAAACTACTAAGTAGGCTCATGAAATACCCTCCCACCACATGGGAAGAAATCCATAATGCCTATTGTGCCGAAGTAATGGCAGATGAGGACGACCTAAATGGTCCGATCCACCGGCTAACATCAGTCCAAACCGAAACAAGGAGAGATTGTCGCAACAATGGTCGAAGGGATCAACTACCCCATTTCGGTCGAGAAAGGCATCAGCCCTACATCCGGACATCCGTCCCACCTCCTCCCCGACATGTAGATGCCACTCCTCGACACACTGCTCCACACCGAAATGAAAGAGGTATGCCTCCATGTTATCTGCTCATAACTTTTGCGTTTCTCCTTTAGAAATAGTGTATGCACTAGAAAAGCTCGGCACAAAGGTGTAGTGGCCGCAAAAGATGAAGTCCAATCCGAGCACCCAGAGATCGAATGTTCTATGCGAATTCTATCAGGAAAGGGGGCATAAGACCGAAGACTGCATAGGTCTGCGACAGGAAGTAGTAAGAATTCTAAATCAGGGACACCTGAAAGAACTGCTGAGCGATCGAGGACGGGTTAACTTCGCTCGTGGCGCGACCAACCTCAAGGACCCCCAAAACCACCTTCACCCGCTCGTACCATACAAATGATCATTGGTGGCAGCAATGATACGGTAATCAACCATGTGAAATTCACCACTACACACAAACTCAAGCGGACAGTCGCTCATGAACGGTATGATGACCTCAAAGATAGTATCATCTTCGATAAGTCATATACCAATGGTTTGTCTTTCCCTCACTATAATGCTTTGGTTATAACTTTACATATCACAGATACCGATGTAAAAAGAATAATGGTGGATGATGGAAGCGACGCGTGTATTATTCACCCATGAGTCCTCATATAGATGAGACTCGAGGATAAAATAGTACCGCACTGCATAACACTAACAGATTTTAATAATGCAGTAGAACGAACCTCTGGAGAGATAGTGCTGCATGTTCTGGCTGGAGGAGTCACTCTGGAAACGACATTTCACGTCATGAACCAGGAAACAACCTACAACGCTATCATAGGGCATCCTTGGATACACGCCATGCGAGCCGTCCCATCAAGTTTCTATCAAGTAATCAAATTTCCTACCCCATGAGGAATATTCAGCATCCGGGGCGAGCAACGCACCGCCCATGAATGCTACCAAATAGCCCAAGATTGTACACATACCCAACAACTAAAGGGGCAACTGCGGAAGCATAGCAATCAGCCATATCGGGAGCCAAACCCAACATACAAAAAAAGGCCATCAATGACCCAGACGTTGTAGAAGCCTGCAAGGCAACCATAGAGGACCTCGATCCCGTTCAATTGGACAACAATGATAGCACAAAAAAAAACTTATATCGGGCACAACCT